GAAAGAGGGGGAACCAGGACTAGAGGAAAAATTTCAAAATAGTGTCTCTTTGTTTGTTTGTAAGCAACAAAGTGGGAATCGTTACTTTGGAAGCTTCCAAAACTGTTTTGTACTATTCATTTCAAAACAGCTTTTTTTTTTCAATAATTTTCAAAACAGCTTATATTAGAAAAGAGTTCTATATTTAAAAACTTAGTACATGTTCACTAAGGAATCTTATTTGCTTGAATCAAAATGTTTTGGCTTGGCACAATCTGTTAGCTTTTTTGATTTCGGGTTTTGGTGTTCTGTTTTGTGGATTTTTTGTTGCAAAATCTGAAGAGGCTCTTTCAGTTCACATCAAAACAAAAGTTCCCTTTTCTTCAATGTCGAGGTTTTGTAGTCCTTTTAAAATTTTAATTTAGCTTAGTTTTACTTTTCAAAAGTTAACTGGGAAAGGGTTACAGGCAAAAGCTCTTTGTGACTGTTCAAAAACTACGGCTGAGCTGAGAAGGAAAACTGTGTTTCACCCGTGATTCCAAAACTTGATACTGGATTTTCGTGACTTGGAATTGAAAAGGCCTCATACAACCACTGTAAAATGATTCTTTAAAGAGACTGGTGAGAAGAGCAGTCCGAGTTCTCCGGTTTGACCAGTTGGTACCAAAACTTGCTGGTTTTGTGTTGGTGCAGTTGGCCTTGAATGAGGGCTTATTGGAATAAAAATAAGTTCCAGTAATGGTTAGTGACAGAAATTTTTTTAAACCTTGTGAGAACTCCACAGACACTACTGCAGGGGGTTTCTGTCCCTTCCACGTCTTTCTTTCTTACTGTTTTATTTTTGATATATTTTCTCCTATCCTCCCAGGACTTACTGCCCTGTGAGACCCTTTTTTTACTGAAGCATCTTCATAGCCCCTATTTAGCCTGTCTTCTGTGAGGCCAGCAAGGAATTTGGTGGGTTAGGAACATAATCATTCGTATCTCTAAAGCTAGAAGTAAAAATAGATTTATATTATAACACAGGCTTAAGGATTTACTTTAAACCTATAAGTAAGGTCCAAGAAAATGATATTGTATCCAGTAGAGCCTGTCCAGTCCAGAACAATTTAAGTGGCTTTTAGGATGTAATCTTATTGAGGCTGACTAATCTTTAAATACGTTCTTTAGCTTTGCATTTCATTAAAGCGGATGTTTTCTGTCTTTAAAATCATATTAAATCCACACTGAGCGAGTGCTGCGTAAACTTAATAACAAAATATTCCCTGTGAGTTCTTGCCCAAGCTGTCTCTGATTTTCTCTCTTCAACAGGGAAGCCCTAAAGAGTACGGGGCTACGTACAAAGCATAGTATTTGTATCCACAGTTCATAAATGTAAAACTTGGTGCAATTACACTCTAATATTCAAGCTTTTCATATTTTTCCTTGGAAAAGCAAAAGCTGCTAAGCTTGAGAAACAGACTGTGCACCAAATGATTGGCTATAGTGACTGTTCTTTCGTTTTGCTTTAAGAAGCAAGCTGTAAAGAAAATATGTCACTGATTGGATATATTTCATAAGGAAAATGCCATTTATCTGTACCTTTTTTTAATCATGTTTTTGGGGGGGTTTTGAGAGAGAAAGAGAGAGCACGCAAGTACATGGACACTGATTTTTGCCAGAAGCCCGTAAGAATACTAACAGATGTTGAACAGGAGGCTGGAAGCCAGGCATTGCTGTGATAGTTAACGGTGGAATTAGTAGTCACAAGTGGACACTCAACTAAATACCCTTTAAAAGCACTGAGTAGGATAGATTGTTTCAAGATAGATTGATAAGTATTCATTCGGGTCTTACTGCTAAAGTCCTTGCAGCCTAATCTACTGTGTATACTAGAAAAATGTCACTGTCACTGTCCAAAATCACTGTCAAAGTTCTGCCCAACCTTCCTTCTCCTCAATGGCTGATCTGCAGCAGGACTGAACCATTTTCAGCTGCAGTTGAGGTAAGCGAGTGAAACTGGTAGTCACTGTGGCATAAATACGAATCACTTCTGTGACAAGGGTCACTGCATAGGCTTTGGAGCCAGGTAATCTTCCAGATTGCTATAGGTCTATGTTTGTGTCCTTTTGAAGAAAATGGTGACCTGGCATCCTCCTTGATTTTTTCTTAGTGTCTTGTTCTTTAGTATTAACTGATTTCTTGTTGGAGTAGTCCTGCCTTTCTCAGGAAGGGGAATGCTAGAGAGTATGCTGTGTGGTGCTGAGCCTTTCTGTTTTTCTTTCCTTTTCCTCTTGTTGGGAAAGACATTCCTTCTGTTGTGGTTCTCTGGTTGGGCTGATGCTGTGACATTATGTCCTCCGTCTGCCTCTTGCTAGACTAGTCTCTCTGCATTCCAGTAGGTTTAGTCTGGTGCATGTACACAGTATTAACTGACGATAAATCATCCATCCACATGACATGCAAAAACCAAACCCATAGGTCTGGGGATGGTAGTCTGAGCCTAGCAAATCTGTTCCTTTCCCATTCACTGTGAGTCCCAGCTCTGATCCCTTTTCCAAACATAACAAATTCTTTATTTCTTTACCATCTGGTATTTTTATCCTTCCTTTTCCCAGTGTAAGCTCTCTCCATGACTATGAAATGTACACTCTCCCAAGCAGACTTTTTTTTAAGGCTTATGAAGCTCTTTAATGTTGCTTGTGGGTATTTTCTGGAGAGGTCTGGACTGCTGGGATTAATGTCTTCGTGCTGTCTATACTTCTTCACTTGCTGGTCATTTCCAGTGATTTCCTTGAACCAAAGTAGTTAGTATAGAAAGCACATAGAGAGCCAAATTGCAGTGCATCATATCTGAAGAGTATTTAGTAGTCACACTCTCTTGGGAGTATGCAAATGAGACTTATGGGTCTCGACCTGTGTTTTCTGATGATAGCAAAATTCACTGTAAATGAGCTGTGCATCTCTTATTCAGACTTTCATTTATTTTGACTACAGGAGATGATTAATTTGTGCAATTTCAAAGAAAATTAATGCAATTTTGTATGCTCTGAATGGCAAATATGTTAGCCCACTGTATTGGTTAGAGAAGCTGTTCTTCGCAGTAGCGTGGAGTGCTGTGTTCGGTTCATGCGCAGTACAACGTAAAATGCTTGCATCCTGTTTAGCCATGAACACACTGTGTGCTTCCATGGGTGGCATCTCCTGTTCCTGTTTGGTTTGCAACTTAGGTGTTTGTTCCGATTGAATCACCCCACACACTCTGCAGCCCTTTGCAACGTCCATTCAAAGCATATAGCTAATTCTTGTCCTCTTTTGCAGCGCTGCAGTCTCCCATAGAGTACCAACGCAAAGAAAGTAGCTCAGCGGTGCTGAGGCCCCAGACCGGTAGGGTCCCTCAGCCCAACAGCAGACCCTATTCTTCTGTTCCAGTAGGGTCTGAGAAGCCTTTGAAGGCTACAAGCCGTAACCCATCTCTCCCACCCCTGAAGATATCTACCTCCAACGGCAGCACAGGGTATGAACACTCACAGCCCGGAGACAAGTATGAACAAAGCAAGGTACTGAGCTCATCTGATAAAACATGATCTCATAGCCCATTTCGTCTACCATAGACGATCTGTGAAGTTAGGTTTAATTATCAGCTAACCAGGTCAACAGGAATCAACATACTGAAGCAATGGTGTAAAATGTGATTTGGGATTAAGCAGAGACTGCGAAAGCCCTGGCACCCAGATGGGTGGTACTTCAGCTGGGAAATGGAGACAGAGCCTGACCCTGGAGCCTGGAGCGCTGATCCCAGTGTTTTTCGGGGCACTGTGTTTGCAGACCTGGTGAACTGAATATCCATTTGCAGTACTAGCAGCAGCAATATTCAGGCTTCTCTAATATCCATTAACCACCCATTCCTGAAGAGGTCTACTCGGATGGTATAGAAGAGTTTAGACCTTTTCCCATGTAACAGCTCGCAGGGTGCCAGTTGAAGGTTATAATTTGGGTGCATGTGCATTGCATACAAACCACCAAAGAGTCAGTAACTATCTCTTAAACAGTGTTTGGACCCTGCTGCTGGCTGCGGTTGACCAAAGCCACTTTCCAATATAACCTATATTTAAGATCATGAGATGTGTTGAGTATTCATTTGGCTTCTAACGTTGAGCCTTCATTGGTCTTTCCCCCCATTTGGCTCAGCACAGATCGTTCATCCGTAACACTATACAAATGAGACCGTGGCTGGGGCACCGTCACTAGCAGCGGTGAAATCTAACATGAAATAGGAGGCTGGTTTGTGTCAGATTACTGCTGCCTTTCAGATCCTTAAAATCCTTTTTTACCAAAGTGAACTTTAAGTGTTTTGTATCTTTTTCCCTGGTACAGTTAGGCTGGAAATTAAGTGGTGGGATTGCTGCCGGAAAAGGCAGGTTCCTCAGCGCCACCTGCTCACCGGTTTCTGTTGTGTCCATTTTCACAGACTGATTTGGGAGGGTGCAATGGGACCTCTTCTATGGTGGTGATTAAAGATTACTATGCACTGAAGGAGGATGAGATCTGTGTGAATCAAGGAGAGGTGGTTCAGATTCTTGCTATCAACCAACAGAACATGTTCCTGGTATACCAGCCTGCAAACGACCACTCTCCGGCTGCTGAAGGATGGATCCCCGGCAATATCTTGGCTCCCCTCACTAAATCCACTACAGATAATAGCGACGGAAGCATCAAGTAAGTGCCATGTTGGCTTGGAGCACTATGTGGATTTTTTGAGGAAAAAAAAATAAATAAAAAAAAC